ATGAAACAAAAAAATCCCAACAAACAAAACACCAACAAAAAAAGTAAGTCCACCCCTTTTCCTCCATCATGAAGTGCACTGGCTTGACTCAAGCCTAAATGCAGGGTCCTGCGGTCTCTATTGTGTTCTGAAGATTCTTGTTGCAAACAGAGTAAATGGCCTGATTCAGAGCCCTTTGAATTGAATTGAAAACCTCCAGTGTGCTTTATTGGTTTTGGATCAAACCCAGAAGAAACAGGTAAGAGCTGGACAAAGTGTGCTAGGAAAAATCCCTTTGTGAATGCATGTATCTCTGACTGTAGCCAATTCACGGTAATCATTGAAATAAATGATGCACATTGAAATGAATTATCCGCACCCCAGCAGCAAGGCATGCTCTCCATGCATTCTCCATTGCCTTCCCAGCAATGTGGGTATGACAAAAAACAGGGATAAAATGCTGCCAAACCTAGATGCATATCTTAAATTATGGTTCAGTATTGTGCTGTATTACCTACAGGCTGAAGAAATATATGTGACAGTGATTTTTTTTATCCAGGAGCAGTATTTCTTTTAAGCACTTGTATTCTTTTAACCCGTATTTCTTTTAAGCACTTGTTCCACCTCACAAGTTTTTGAAGATTGTGATCCAAGTCATCAAAATAATTTCACACAGAAATCATAAAAATGCATAGATATAAGGTTCTATTTATTTGGGGGTTTGTCTGTATATATTTAAGGGTCACATTTTGAAGAAAAATGATTTAAGATATCTGTACTCTGAATTTTCTGTTTAAAAAACAGAGACAAGGTTTCCTTCTTCTGAACTTGCCTTCCATCAAAGAAATTTTCTGCAGCCCTGAGAAGCAGAAAACTTCTAATCTCTAAAAAGAGATTTTTATTGAGTCATGTGGCTCCAGGAGATGATGTAGAAAAGAAAATTCCTCATTTCTTGATTTTATTTCATTATAAGCAGCTTGCTTTTATTATTAAACTGAAACTACATGGAAGACAACTTACAGGATTTTTTTTTTGTTGTTGGGAGGGGTGAAGGGAAGTTAGAATTCTCTTTAGAGCCTCTGCTTTCAAAATCAAGAATGCACATAAGGTATTTTATATATTTAAACTCAGTCAACTTGTTTAGTTTTCAGGTTTTGTCTACAGAACAAAGTTACTGTGTGATACACTACATAATTTATGTAATTTAACGAACTTTGCTAAAAGACTACTGTGAATGATGATACTATATTTTAAGTAGTTCTTTATTCTGCTCAGCTTGTTGTAGCTTGAAATTAACTTGATTAGGCTGAGAAGAAAAAAAAAGTTCCAGAGTGAATGCATACCAAATTTATTTGGAAATACTGACTTTTTCACTCTGCATCCTGTCTTCACGTGAATCACTGTTCAGGTTCAGGGAAAGTATTATTTGAACTGTACAGATCTTTCCATGTCTCTCCTTATTCCATTTTTTAAGTTTTAAAGTATTTTTAAAAAATTTTATACACAATTTTAGGGGAGATGTAAATGAAGACATCTACATTCTACATTTAGGTTTCATCAAAAGATGAAGACATTCATCTTTTGATGACACCTGAAAACAACCCTAAGTTGAAATGGCAAGAGGCACTGATTTAAGTACAACTCCTATAAGCAAACTTTAACTCAGGCAATACTCAAAGCTTCTCAGAGCTTTTGATATGTTTTTGCAGTTTGCAATGTAAAAGAAAATCAGAGGAATTTTGAGTAAGATCGGACACAGCCATGGCTGGTTTTCAAGCCATTGCTTTAAAACAGTTTCTAATTATGGGTGAGTTTTTGGGTTTTTTTTTAACCAAATCCTTGGAGGCAGTCGCCTGATCTAAATGAGTCAGCTCTCTGCTAGAGAGTTATTTCTTGCTAGTTGAGCTATTTTGCTTAAACTTGCACCTTTTATTTGTTGATCACCTTATGCAAAAAGTGAATACCTAATTACTGTGTCTCAGATGAAAAGCAGCAACATTACCCTGATGGAAATTGTTTTTTCTTGTGAATCCATAGTTTTATTGATTTAGGGATGAGATTAGGGTTGGGCTTTTCCTGCATGATATTCTGTTCATGAAGATTACATGTTAAATCTTGCCATTTTTCCTTTGTCTTCTTATTCCTTCATCATTTGTTAATTACAGTAAAATAGAACTAGAAACTCTGAGGATTTATGCAAAAAAGTTCCTTTCAAAGTAAGAACTGCCATCTGAATATCTCTTTATTCTCAAACCTTCTGTGATTTAGCCTGTGACTTAATTCACTGTATGGTACTGATCAAGAAAATAAGCTAAGTCAAATTTGGTTCTTGTTTTTGCACAATAGAAAAAAAAATGAAGAGAATAACATTGCCTGGCTTGTTTGGCTTTAGAGATACGTCATTTAAGATATCATTAATGTAACTTTGAGAACTTCTCATCTGTTTATGACTTTTTAGACCTGATATCTCTATCACTCTCTACTGAGCCAGCTTAATAAGTGAGCACACAGACACTCAGATTAAAAATTAAATAAATTGGAAAAAAACAAGAAAGAAAAGAAAGAGGGAAACAAGGAAAAGAAAGAGAAAAAATAATAAGAGAAGAGCAATCAAATCTGAAGTTTATTCCCCTTCCAGTGGTCTGGGAGAATCCCTTCAGCTTTATCATACTCAGCAAATACCCTCCATCTCTCTCACATAATGCAGATGAATTGAGTGGTGTAGGTATTTTTGAGTCCCCCTGTCCCATTTCCAGTTTGACAGTCAGTGGATCTTATGGTCATAATTGGTGTGTAAATAAATTTAAGTCACTATATACAGAGTGTTAATTACACCACTGTGAAAACAGTGGTAGAAGTGGAGCTCTTTCCTAGGTCTGCTGGCTGGCACCCTGACTGCTTGTGGCCTTGCCACAGGATTTTTGTGTGTTTGAGTATAAGCCAGTTTACCACTCTGCCTCCAAGTCTTTCAGCTTTAAAGTGCAATGCAACCTTACCACGAGACTTAATTAGGGTCCAGAACACTTTGGTTAGATTCAATGGCAAAAGAGGCTTTTGATCTCACTGAAGGTTAATAATAGGATCTTCATATCTGTAAGGCACTTTAAGAAACTTGGATGAAAGGTGAAATAATTTAATAAGGGACAACAACAAAAAAAAGTCACTGGATTCTGAGCTTGCTGAGTTTGCACTGCACATGGACTGTCTGTAGATGCAGAATAATATAAGGAGGTAATTACTTAACTTTTTCAAAATGGAGCTGCAATGGGAAATATAAATGCTAGGGAGGTCTGTTTTTTATACACAAAATATGTAGCAGCAACAACTTTATGATCATTTTGTTACAGCTCTTAAAATGAGCCAGTGTGCTAGACTTCCACCTGGTTCCTGTTCTTTTTTTGCTTATCTTGCATATATTAAATGCCTTCCTGGAACAGACAAAATGCTAATCTAACACTGGAAGCTTCTCTCTTTTTTTGAGGAAGTTGGGAATTGGTCAAGCAGGATGATTTTAGAGCAAAATCCATTGTTTAGTAAATACTGTCAGGATCTCCATGACCACACAGGAAGATAGTGATGTATTTGCAGCCTTATAGGTTAATTTTCTTCTAATTTCACCTTACCCGGAATCTTTTAGTTACCAATCTCCAGAAGTTCAGCTGATCAACATCTGGAAATAAATGAATAACTAGATGCATCCAAACCAGAAAAGCAGATTGAACTTGGAGGAAATTTTAATTTTAAGTGTATGTCTTGGACTGCTACCAGAAGCCCTTTAGAATGTCATTGTTCTTTGGGGGAAACTTGAATGGGGACAAAAAGTCCATTAATAAAGGCTGTCAAAACATCTGTTAAAAATCTGCAAGTTACAAAATATGCATTAAAAACATAATTAAATAAAGATGGTGCAGTTTAAAGTTCTTCGTTTTCTCATTTGTAAAGTTAATGCAGTAGGCTTAGGCCAGGTATACCTACTGACATATAGCTGGAATTTTTATGTTAAAAGGAACAAAGACAAACAGCAACCCTTACCTCCACTCCCTTCCCCAGTTCATAGAGTGTACAGGAAGATGTTTTCCTTTTCTGGAGAGCAGAGGAGGGAAATGGCTGTTGTGAGCACGAATAAAAGGACATTGCTGTTCTGCTCAACTAAGAGGAATGCAGAAGACCTCTGCCCTTCTCTTCTTCCAAAGGGATCTGCATCCTCCTTTACTTAAGATTAGTGTGTATCTGCTCCTTTCCAAGTATTCCTAGCTGGAAAATAATAATATAGTCTTGCTCCTTTTCTCTTGGCTGAAAAAGTCTTTAACTCTTCTGGTTGGGATGTCTGCCCAGGCTCACTCTGCACCTGTGCTTGGTGCTAGTGTAGTGTTGGACCCTTTTTGCTCATCCAAGGGAACATGACTGCTGCAGAGGCCTTAAGTCTTGGGTGAAACATCCCCAAATGGTTTTACCTGTGAATATTCAAGAGCTTTTGAACCAACCTTCTGGCTAAAGACACTCTGCTACTTAGAGATGCAGGCCTCTAAGAAGCTACTTGAAATAAAACCAGTAAGGGTACTTATCCTCCCATCTTCCCACTGTTGATTTTTGAGTTTTGGAGACTGTATTTTTCCTTTATGAATTTGTATTTTGTGGGATTATGATGATGACAGCTGCCTGAAAAACCAAATTTGGCTTACTGACAACATAGGTCCTATCCTGCCTTAGGGATTGCCTCTATACCTGTATGTTACAAGTCCCTGAACTGTAAAGGCATATCTGGAAACATGTCCTTGAGAAGGAGCAGCCTGACTGGGATTATAAAGGAAATAGTAAAGGGCATTTCAGGCAAAATAGAGACAACCCAAGGTGTACTTAAAATGGAGGTGGTTTATGCAGTTCACTTTTAGTTCTGACTGACAATGTTTTGGGAAGACTGTGGCCTGCAAACTCACTGAGCTAACACCATATCAAGGATGAGGGGCAAATGGTGCAAGTGAATGCTCTTGTAGTAAATCTGATTTCTAACCCAACTACAGCCCAGAAAGGACCAGATGGGGTCATCATTCCCAATAACTACTGTGACTTCTGCCTCGGAGGCTCCAATATGAACAAAAAAAGTGGTCGGCCTGAGGAACTTGTATCGTGCTCAGACTGTGGGCGCTCTGGTAGGTGACTCCTTCTTGCATCTTTCTTGTACAAAGGTTTTTGTGATTTGGTTTTTGCACCTTCTGAAGGTTTTGAAGAAAGGCATCATATTTGGGAAGGGATTGAAGATGGAATCTTACCTCTTCTCTGTGTTTGTGGGAAAGGATGACTGAAAAAATTTTATATTATAAAACCCATCATTGGATTCACATATTTAAGCTAATGGGGTCTTATGAAATAATGAAGTTTTAATTTATTATTGGCTTTTGGGAACATTGGTACATGTACTAGTTGTTCTTCACATGGAAGGAGAAAATCCTATGACAATTTTACAGAATGGTCTCTGTCTTTAAATGCTGCAGTTACAACTATAAATTACTTACAAGATTTATGAAAGTTGCATGACAAGCATTCCCATTGATTACACATTTCATGCATTTCTTCATCCAAAAAAGAAAGAGGGAGAAAATTACAGGGTAGGTATGGGGCTAGCTGTCAAGAATTATCCTCTTATAAGATGACTATCATTAGTTTTGTTTAAAGAGGTTTTTATTTCTCCCTTCCCTTCTCTCTTTTTAAATGTAGGCAATTGTGTCTTTCCCAATTTGAGTTGTCTTTATTTCTGGGCTGTTGTTTTCTTCCCTCCTTTCTTAGTTTTTTTATTTTATTTTCTTTCTCTTTTTTCTTTTTGGACAATATTATACCAGCTGAACAGTTATTTATAGCTCACAAAGGAAGTAGTGGTGGTGGTAGAGGGAATTGGGAGACCTTAAACAACTGCATATTCCAGCATTGGTCCACGTTTCCACTTGTGATATTTTTGTTTTGTGATATTAGTGGTAATAAGATGGTGATATAGAAATCTGAAAACCAAGGAGGCCTTGAAACTCAGTATGAATGCTGCTCCTTCTGTACTGTAGTCACTGAAAGATGTCTGTTGCTTCATGGCTGAAATGTGATGTGGAATGTTCTCATGCCAAGGAAATGGCCTTTTTATGCTCCTGCTGAAATTCATAGTAAGCCTACTACCACATTCAATGGGAGAATGATTAGACTCTCACTGAAATTGCCTTCTGCAGTTGTTGTGACCTCTGAAGACATTCTGAAATTACACTGGTCACCAGACAATCAATGGCAACCCCTTTGGTTTTCTCCAGGGGCATCCTTACGAATGCTGTGCAGTCAGAGACATGGACCATTTAGTGTACACGTGATTGCTTCTACTAACTAATGGGGAAAGTCCATGGAGTCTGTGGTGCCATCTTGGAAGATTACTGCCCTTTGCCTTGATTGTTATATTTCAATATAACTAATTTCAGCATCCTGATATGGCACAATGAGATGGAGCCATATTTTATTGCTACTTAAACATTGTTATGGTGGTTATATCAGAATCCAAATACATTAATTCCCTTGATTCCTTAGTGTGATAGAACAAGTAGATCAGCCTGTAGCCTAAACTGTGCCAAATCAGTTCCATTAAATGCTATCCTTGTACAAATTCTGACCCACTTGGGTCATTCATAGGGTCTGCAATGCTGTGACTGATGTGTGATGAAAGTGATTAAGGTATAACCACACACTAATCTCTAAACTAAAACAATGAAACCTCTTTGGTGGCTGCCATCTTTCTCTTTTATAATAATATTACACTGAAAGAGAGGTCATGGAAATTATATTGCTTCTTCTGTTCACAAAGTCAGTAAAATCACATTTCTACAATATGGTTTATCTGCCAATTATTTTGTTATATCCATTTTCTTTTTTGTGAACAAGACTTACTTCTTTCTGTTTCAAGCAATGCAGTGTACTTGTTATCTGGCTGATTCCTGTAGCTGGAGCAGGGACCCAACTGTTGGTTGCCTAAGTACATGCTACTGTTTGTGAATAACAAAATAGCTGTTCCCTAAAATCTCACACTTGAATTTTGTTGGGGCACAAGAGATATCTTTTTCTCTACCATCCCTAAAGAAGGAATTTGAAGGTCATACTATTAATCACATAAAAAGTTTGTCTGTGAGAGAAAACAAACCTCAATTTCACAGATTTCAGCATTTGACTTCTCTTTTTAGGAGTCTTCTTATGGTTGTTGTTGCCATTATTGGTATTGCGTGGAGAATTTCCTGTTCCATCTTGAAAATTTGATTGACTCACACAAATTTGAACTTTCCAGTGTTTCCCAAGATGGGATACTTCTCAGTTGTTTTAGTTGTTGAACTGTATATATTAGTTTTGGGGTTTTTTTTTATTTTTGAAGGATGTGCCATGACATTTGTATTAAAGTATTGGTTTAGATTACTTTCACTTAGTCTTCAAAATGTATTTAATTTTGTCTACAGAGGAGGTTCTTTAGAATCAGGTGAAGAATGGGGATAAAAAGTAGTCCTGAGGTTGATGAGGTATCTAGTGGTTTACATCTCCGTAGCAGAACATTTGTGACTGTCGATGCCATTGTGCTTAGATCTAACAGTGTCTCATTACTTACATGGTCTAAAAATATTTTAAAATTTATCTAAGTAATCATGAGGAAATATTTTACTGTCTTTTGAAGAGAGGAAAACATGATTAACCCTTTCGCTGCTGTAGCTATGGGCACCTGTGGCGTTTGTAGATTTTTTCTTGGAAAGAGAAACTGATCCTTTGTTATTTTTCTTACTGCAGTTCTACCTTTGCTATGTTGTTGGGGTGCACGGGCACATACAAGCACACACCTATGAGCTTGATAGTCTGACTTGCTTAATGATAATGAAAATGATGAAAAAAATGATGATGATGATGCCTTTTGCTTAACCCATGTGCTGATATATTCATCATACATGTCAGCTCATTTGGGAAGAGAAGGCAGGAGGGACGAAGCAGCGCCAGCACGCACTACGGAGGACTTGTTCGGTTCCACGTCAGAAAGCGACACCTCGACCTTTCATGGCTTTGACGAGGACGATGCAGAAGAGCCTCTCTTGAGCCGAGGAGGTGGCTATGGTGGCAGGTCTCCCTCTGCAGACAAAAAGGGCGGCTGCTAAAATAACTAAAAAGACACAGAAACTCTGAGCTGTCCTTTTCACTACTAAGATTATTATTACATTTTTCATTTTTTAGGTCCTCTTGGGTTTTTGGTTGGTTGGTTTTTTCCCTCCTCCTCCCCCTTTTTTTTTTTTTGTTTTTTGTCATTTTTGTTATGTTTTCCCTGTGGGGGTGTACACTGAAAGCACAAGCATTTAAAGCTCTTGACAACTACTTTGAAGAGACAGAAGGTTTTTGATTTTCCTGTTTTGGTTTTTTTCTTTCTCTTTTTTTTTTTCACTTTAATTTGGTTTTATCACATCTCCCCTCCTTCTCTTTCTCTTTGGAAACATAAAAAGTGGATTTAATATTTTTTTTAATAGTGAGCAGAGTTGATTTTCTTGTCTTTTAATATATATATATCAGCAAACCACAAAAAATACAGATGGGTTGGAGAACAGAAAGTAAACCCAAATAGTTTTTTTTTAATTATTATTATTATTTATATATTCTATGTATTATTAGAAAAAAACTACTTTTTAAATAAAAATAGAAAAAAACCAACAAAAAAGCAATGGATGTCTACTTGGTAATAGAACTGTTTCTAGAGAACCACTGGGGGCGGACTCTATCAGGGGACAAGGAAACCCTTGATGTGATGGCATCTGCATCTTGAGATTTTGCACTTACTGTAGCATGTGAAGTCTGGCTCTTACATCTGCTACGTTACAGCCTGAAAATACAAGCAGCACCATCGAAGACCACGGCCTTGGGGAACACATTTCCATCTCCTTTGGACACCTTTACACTCAATAAATCTCCTCTCTGCATCCCTTCATGTCTTCCCCACACTGTTCCACTTTTTTTTACTTTTCCTTCACCCTTCACTTGATGGACAGCAATTTCCAAGCATAGAGGTGGAATATGAATGGCAAGTCATATACATCACAGAAAAAAACAAAAGGAGGAGCAGAATCCTGGAAGAAATGACATGGAAAAATACCTCACCTATTCTTTTCTTTCAATTTTTAAATTTCAATTCACAGCATTTTTTCCTGTGTTGCCCTCGTTTTCTCTCTGTAGTGTCTCACAAGACACTTTATTTGCTTTTTAATGGCTTCTTTTGAAATAAACCAAAGCAATACTAATTAAAGTTCCAAGGGCAATGGAGAAGAGAGTGACTCCCTTCCCAGCGACTTTCCCAGAAAGGAGGAAACATGCAGCAGGATTTGAAAGGTATGTCCAAGCTGAAATGTCTTTCACTCAATTGTGAAATTTCTTGCCCTGGCTTTTCAGCAGACCCCTGACTGAGCTTTGTTGTTGCAGCAAGTCCCATGGATTAAATTGTATTATACATATGGGCCACATTCATGCCCCTGGTGAAACTAATGGAAGTTCTGTGAGAGCAGGATCCACACTTGCGTACAGTCAGAAATGATGCAAAAGGAGTCAGTGTGTAGTTATGTTTTGCTGTCCTAGTGCAGGCAAAGATCTCCCTGGAGCAGGGGCAAGGTTAAGTTTTAAAGATCTATTTTTACTGATGTACATAATGCAAACAGGGTGAAATCGTGACCTGATTAAGAGCAAAGGCAAAACAGACATTTCTCTGGACAGTGCCTAATCCTTAAACTGTAGGTGTGTGTTTTTGATACCAGAGTAAAAGTCTTAGCCTTGCAATAAGGAGTTTGGATATGTACAATGAAACAAGCCAGACCAAATGGACCCCGTTTTTCCTGCTTCTTTGCTAGGGTAGTCTGTCTGTGAGAGCAATTTTAACTCCCTCCTCCACCTTCCAACCTTGTAGAAAAAAGAGAAATAATTCAGTCTCTTGATTTTTTTATTGTTCTCTTTAGACATGAAATGAGCAGTGGCTAAATTCTGCTTTTAGGTATACAGGCATAAATCCAGAATATAAGCTAACTGATGTCTAGATTACATTAATAATCCACCTTCAGGATGCTGTTAGAAAACATTAGAAACTCCTCAGTATGTGTACATCAAAGGCCAGAGCCATGCACAC